ACCACGAATGTGATCACCAGATACTGCAAATATGTACTGAGGTACCGTGGACCTGGCATTCAATGGGGATCCCGGTGGAAACTTACCTGAGAAGAGAGGTGTGCCCTCATTCCACTAGAAAGTGACCCGGCGGAACTCTGCTTCAGAACCCTCCCACAGCTCGACCCATGAGTCTCTTCACGTACATCTAATAAAACTGCACTCATAAAAAAGCAAATCTAAGTCTTTTAATAGGACTTTAGTGATAGTTCATCATGGCTTAAATTTACATTTCCCTAATGATGAATGATTTGAAGACCTTTTTCTCTTTAGATGTTATATTTCAGAGTGATTTAGATTCATAGTAAATTTGATGAAAATATATACAGATTTCCCATGTAACTCCTGCTCCTACACATTCACAAACTCCTTTGTCAATAGATTTTCTATCAGAATAACAAACATTTTATAATTGATGAACTCATCTTGATGGACTGCAAGCACCTGAGCTCCATAGAGTTCAGTGGTGTCCACACTTGGTGTTTTAGATTCTATGAGTTTGAGCAGATACAGGACACGTATAAACCACTAAAGCACACACAGCACTTCATTGGCCTTCATTACACAGTGTATTTTCATTTTCATTTTCCATTATTTATCTATTCTTCACTCCCTAATCCTCTACCTCCTAGAAAGTACTGGTCTTTTTACTGACTTTATTTTTGCCATTATAGGAGCACCATAGAGTTGGAATTAAATGCATGTGTCATTTTCAAATTGACCTCTTCTATTTGGGAATACATATTTGATATTTATACTTTTTCATGGCTTGGTAGCTCTCTTTTACTGATGAATAATATTTCACTGAATACACCACTATTTATTTACTCATTTTGTACAACTCAGAAATGAAGTTATGTACTCATTCTTTATAGCTGGCTTTTTTTATGTTTTCAAAGTTCATTTATTTTGGAACTTACAAGTATGCATCATTTCCAAGTCTTTGGTTGAGTGGTAGTAAACTATTTAGATATATCACTTTTTATTTACACATTAACCAATTGATGAACATTTAGAAGTTATCTATTCTTGGTTATTATAAGTAATAATATTCTTAACATTCATGCACATGATTTGTGGGAATACACATTTTCACTTTCCTTAAACATATAGCTAGGAGGGAAATTACTGGTTCCTACTGAAACCCCTACAAGAGGTCTCAGTCCAACCCTCCCTGCAATATGGCACACAGGTGCAAAGGAAAGACAAAGAGAAAAAGATCTGCAGTTGAGGGACTCCAGGATAACGCGGTGTTCTCTGGGGAACAAAAAGCCTCATCATCTCCACAACTTCGTAGTTTTATTGCTATCAACCAGGGAAATGGGTGGGAGTCACCACAGAGTGCTTAGGGAAAAGAAACTTTGTACCCATTGGTTGTAAAGTGAAACAGAACAACATTTTACCAGGCACAAACACCTCCAGTTAGCAATATAAGGATAATCTGAAGTCTGAAACGCTGACACTTTTACTAGCAGGAAGACATAATATTTTCTGAGTCCCATGGCCTCAGCTGAGATGTTGTCTTCCGTTTTAGCCCTAGAATCTCAGAGGCTGCTACACCAGCCTCCATCCCAGCCATCAACACAAGGCTATTCTAGTGCCAGCATTGCCTTTTGCTGTTAATGAGACCACTGGTGCCTCAGTCAAACTCCACAACAGTTTTTTGGCCAATTAAAGGAAACTTTGCTTCGGTGTAGCCAGCTGTATGTATTTCATTGGATAGAGTGAAGGAGAGGTCAGGGACAGATTGCAGCAAGGGCTTTGTTTCTCAGGAGAGAGCAGAGTGGGGCCATCCTTTGGTTCCAATGGTAATTCTGTTCCTAAACTTGCGAAAACAATGCATTTTTTATAAGTGGTTAAAACCATTAAACACACCCATCTGTAGTGTATGAGAATCCCAAGCTTTCACACCTCTAACATTTGACATTTGTTGTCGTCTTTATTAAAAACATTCTTATGAGTTTGGGGTGGTCTTTATGATTGATTTCTATTTTCTTTATTATTAGCAATTTTGAGCATCTTTTTCAGTGTCTTGCATATCTTCTTGTGAGGAATGTGTGTGTTCTAATATGTTGCCTATTTTAAAAAGACTTTTTTTCTGAAATTTTATACTTGAAGGAGTTATTAATGAACTTGGAGTGCTAATGCTTATGCTATATGATTTGGAAATGTTTCATTCTGTGACTCATTCTTTCCTTCATTTAATCATGTTGATTCAAACTCAAAAATTTACTTTTGATCAAATTCAATTTGTCTTTTACTTTTTTATCCTTAGAATATAGTACCTAAGAAATCACTGTTTATCTCAAGATCAAATATATTTACTCTCATTTTTTTCTCATAATGGTTTTATTATAAAATTTCTTACATTTAAATCTATGATTCACTTTGACTATTGTAAGATAAGCACCAAAGTCACCTTTTCCATGTCAATCACCACTTATCCCAGCACTTTTTGTTGAAAAGACAAGTCTTTGTCAGCAAGTTAGCCTTATTGGAAATAAAAATGATCATGAATTGAGGATTTATTTTTAACTCTCAATTTTATTCCACTTGAAATTCATGTTTTATACATTTATCTGTCAGAATTTGAATGCACTCAAATTGTCTCTATGCATTGTTTCTTTCACATGTTATGAGTTCTTTACATCCCATTTCTACAGTTTTAAATTCCCTATTTAAAACATGAAAGTAAAAGAAGGATAGTGTAAGAATGCTTTAAAGATACTATTTCATAATTGTGATCTCCCAAGACTCAGAAAAGTGTAATGGAAAGAGGAAAAGTCTTTCTCAACATTCTTTTTTCATAGAAGCACTGCTGGAAATAACTGCTATCTTTGACAAAGAGCAAAACAAAAGATAACTAATAAAAAGCTGAGATCTTTTACAGATGGGAAGATCGAGAGGTGAAGGGATGAAAGGGGAAGGAGGAGAAAGGGATAAAAATGAGGAAAGATGGTTTATGTACACACATCAGCGTTCTGAGAAGAATGTGATCCTTATGGAATAAATGCACTAATAAAATGAAAATTGAACAAAAATAAATAAAAAATTGCACGTTTCTCACAGTTAAGAGGAAATGTGATCACAGATTAAGTACTACATTTTTCAGTATTATTATTTTCTGCAAGTTTAAGAATTAGAGGAATGTTTATCAAGGTTCCTAATTGGATTTTAAATAGTTGTTTAAGGCTTTCATTTGTTGTATTTCTTAGATGAATTTTAAAGTTAGTGCTCACCTAAGTTAAACTTCATATTAGAAGAGATGGCTATCTATGTTAAAATTTAAGCATTAATTTTCAAATGGCAAAGTTTTCATTTTCTAAGTAGATCTAAGAATCTACTTAGATTACACAACTATATATGTTCATCCATAAGAAAGTTTAACATAGATTTACTTCCAGCAGGAGAGTCACACACAAATTTCTAGTAGTTGTTCAGAAACAAACACTTAACAAAGTAGAGCTGGGTGTGATTACACATGCCCGTAATCTCAGTACTCCGAGAAGCTGAGGAGGGAGGATAATAAATTTGAAGTCCTTGTTTCAAAATTTAATAAATAAATAAATAGGCTTGTGTTGTGACTCAGTGAAAAGACCCTAGGTTCAATGTCCAGTACCATAAAGCAAACAAAAATTTTAAGACTATAAAAATAGTTTTTATAAAGAAGATATTCCATAAAAGGCAACTAAATGGAGGTATTTCAATTCTTATAAATTTTCACATGAAGAAAAGAAGAACCAGGGGGCAAGGCAGATAGGAAACTTTCATTTAGAATGAAGGAGGAAAGAAAAAGCAGTGTACTCCCCACTGGATATGAGAACACAGAGAGTAGAAAACGTTTTTGGCTCTGTGTTGCACCTTGTACAAGCCCAAGGGTAAAGAAAAAAATTGAATTCATTTGTGAGTCCCTTAGGAACTAAGGCAGATCACAGCCCAGGGAGTAAATACAGTTCCTTCATTTCACTTTTTTACAGGTCAGATCTGTTCTCTGGGGAAGAAAACTGGCAAGCTCTTCTCCTGTTTATTACCAAGCAGATTATGCCACTTACTTCACATTAAATCATTTGCATCATTTTAAATTGTAAATGTGACTATAGTAAACACTGCTTTTCTGTTTTGTGACAGGACTCAGAATCTGAATCAGAAAACATGAAGTATAGTTATCAAAAATTTCCAGGTTAGTGAAAATTCAGTCTATGCTGCCTCTTCTCAGTCTCCAAGGAATCAAATTCTAAAAGCTCGAAATTGTCATTTCAGGCTTTTGATGAGCAAGTAACAAGAATAGGTAAACAACGACATTTTCAGGTCTAAGGAGGGTGAGTTTGTTATTTCTATGCCTATTAATGTCCTTTTAGATGGCAGTTCAGGGATCTACGTTAGGGCGGTTTTCTTCCCATTTTGAGCATTTCTGAGAATAGAGTTGCTAGAGAAATTTTCAGAGAGAAGGAGCAGAAAGTGCTCAGAAAACTTGCAGAGTTCACAGTATGCATATGGTATTGGGTGGTGCATTCATTATTCAAGGACAGAGATCTGCCTGCTCTAAGAGATTTAGGGCTTTAATGTTGTGACATGACTAGTGACTTGCCTCTCCTGTACTCTGGTTCCTCACTTCTGCTTAAAGTCAGTGCTTCATTTAATACTACACGAGAGTCTAACCTGCCATAGAGACCAGGACCTGGTTGCTAGGACTTCTGTTCAAATTTATAGGTGAAAGAGTGGACCCAAAGTCAGTTAGTGACACACTTCAATATTTTTAGTTTACTAAGACTCTAGTAAGTGGATACTCCTGGGAGAATCTTGTCGTGATGAAGATCAGTCCCATGGGCTCAAATTGGGTGAGACTTTGATTTTACTGGTGTATTCTATTCTAGAGGGAAGAAATAATGCAAGAGAAATGAATTTGTCTGTCTTTGAATGTGACCCCAATTGCCTGTGTCCACAGACACTACTACAAAAGAATGGCTCTTGAAAATGGCTCTTTTGTGACTGATTTCATTCTGATGGGATTGACAAACCAGCCAGATCTCCAGCTCCCGCTGTTCTTCCTGTTTTTACTAATGTATGTGACCACTGCTCTCGGAAATTTGGGATTGGTAACTCTAATCAGGCTGGACTCACATCTTCACACTCCCATGTACTTTTTCCTCTTCAACTTGTCCTTCACTGACCTCTGTTATGCTTCTGTGTTTACACCCAAAATGCTCATGAGCTTCACATTAGAGAAGAATATTATTTCCTATATGGGGTGCATGACCCAGCTCTATTTTTACTGTTTTTTTTTTTTTTTTTTTGTTATTTCTGAGTGCTATGTGTTGACGGCAATGGCCTATGACCGCTATGTGGCCATCTGTAATCCACTTCTGTATAATGCTGCCATGTCCCCCAGAGTGTGTCTCAGCCTTATGTTTGGCTCCTACCTGATGGCGTTTTCTGGTGCCATGGCCCACACGGGATGCATGCTGAGGCTGACGTTCTGTGATGCAAACACCATCAATCACTATTTCTGTGACATCCTTCCTGTAATGCAGCTCTCCTGTACCAGCACCTACATCAATGAATTGGAAGTTCTCATTGTGGTGGGGATCAACATCATTGTGCCCAGTGTTACCATCTTCATCTCTTATGGTTTCATCCTCCACAGCATCTTCCACATCAGCTCCGCTGAGGGCAGGTCCAAGGCCCTCAGCACCTGCAGCTCCCACATAATTGCAGTTACTCTGTTCTTTGGGTCTGGTGCATTCATGTATCTGAAGCCGTCCTCCGCTGGATCTATGGATCAGGGGAAAATCTCTTCTGTCTTTTACACCAACGTGGTTCCCATGATGAATCCCTTAATCTACAGCTTGAGGAACAAAGATGTGAAATTGGCACTGAGGAAATCCTTGTGCAAAAGAAAGTTTTGGTCAGTAATTAATTTCTATATGTGTTTAGTTATAAGACACAAAACTTTTTTTAAAAGTTATTAAGTTTATTCACACATTTTAGATATACATAATTATCACATTCTTCATTTCAGTAAATGTCACATTGTTTCTTTGGTGTCAGAAACCAAAAGTGTAAATAAAGCCTGACGTGCATATTAGTGTGAAATAGGAAGATGTGCAGTCTATTTTAATAAAGGAGGAGGAAGTATCTTCTCCTATTGTTTCTTTTCATGATAATAATTTTACGTCCTCCCTATTTTCTCCAAATTTTATTAATAGTGACTTTCCCATCAAGTACATTTTTAATCTTGCCATCATGTTTCTTACTTTAAAATAAAATTAAGAAAACTTTCATCTAGGCTTTTTCTCATTGTCATTATGGACTTTCTTTTTTCATTTGGTAAAATTAAAAAATATTGGCAAGTGACCAAATGAATGCGGGATGATATTTGTAGCATTCCAAGGGAAGTGTTTCTTTTCTTCCTCTTTTTTATTCTTTTGGAAAATGAGTCATATTGGCTGTACTCTTGTCTTTCCACCTCCACTGGGCAGGAAATATCTCCTTCAAATTCCAGTACTACACATGCATTGGTTCACCAGGACTACCATACTGAACTCGTTTGGCAGGTACAAATTGTGGGCATTCATCTTATAGTATTCATATACACTTTGTTCAGCAAACTACTGTGTGGTCGAGAGTCAATATGTATGCATTACTTACAAGCTAAAGCTCAGAAAATTTAACGACTGAAAGACTCACTGATCTTTAATGAAAAGCATAGAACAAGCAAGCAGCCTATTTACTTGGAGTCTCTTACTGTTTCTGATGTACTTCCCGCTTTTATTAGTTTTATGATTAGTTGTAAACATTAAAAATACTTCTGCTTTTACAGCAAGCTATGCCTTGCTTCTAAACTATATATATGACTTACATGAAGGTGTTTTTATTGTTGTTCAGGAACAAATTTTATGTTTTCCTTTGTGATAAAGAAGTTTGTTGAACTAGGAGAGTTGGGAGATAGTTGGCTCAAGTGGAGATGTCAGTGTTGTATAAAACCTGAAAGAAGGATTTGAAATATTTCCAGGCAGTTGAAATTTAAGAATAAGAAAAGACCCCAGCAACATGTCCTTAATCCATGCCCCTGAAAGACACACAGTTTGTAATTAGGAGGTTGTGGAAAGGAATGGTAATTGAGGGTGAAAAAAGTTGCATTTCACTGTGCATTTGTACTTATTCCACAGAGTATTGGGATATTCTTCTCCATGAGGAAACCTTGATGAATCCTGTAATCTACATTGGCCATACATTAATAAATTTGGAGGAATGGATATGAAAAATACATGACCACTTCTATGGGAAAAGGGGAAGAGAAAGAATGGCAAGCTCAGAGGAGGAAATGTGAGTGGTAACTTAAACAGCAGGTAGGAATTTGAAAGGAAAAGATGGAAAATTAAAGCTTGTACAGTAGCTATGACAATTAAATGGAGTTCACAGGTTTTTCTGTGTAAGAGGAGTCTTAAATTATATGGTATTAAATAATGTTCAATCAGTAGTATATTTAACATTTTTAACACAGTTTGTGCTTTCTTGTTTGGTCATTTTTATGCTCAAATCCTGTAATCTGTACAACTAATTTTTCAATAATGATATGCAATATATTTACAAATGTAAATTCCCTACTAAATTTGTAAAGATTCTATCATTTCTATCTTTTTTAATTTTGTTTTTGAAATTTAAAAAATGTTAACTCAGAATGTGGAAATATCTGAGAAGAGTTGAATAATTTCAGTTTTGTAAGCTCTATTATGCTATTCTCATACTGACCTTTAGACATTACAATGTCATATGACAGGAGAGCAATTTAACAGGACATTTTAAAGGTTTTCTAAAAACCTGTAATATTTACTATTTTACCATTTTTCTAATCTTTACTTCATATTTACCTATTGTGAAATTTATCATAAGTGCATTATCACCTTGTACATTTGTTTTCAGATGTGAACCCTTGTTAAATCATTGACTTGTGGTCTGACTCAAACACCCATGTTGCATCCTCTAACTCCAGTATCAATTTGCTTGATTTTTGATCACCAAAGTTCTATTTACATAAAAGATTTGATCTTCTAGTTTGCTTTTGATGTTTTTAACCTACTGTTTCTTTTCAGTAAAACAGTTCTCTTACTGAATGAGAAGTCCTTCTAAATAAGTAAAGAAGCTCTTTGTTATTTATGATGTTTTGTAGACATCTTGAAGTTTCATTCACTCTGTTATGTATTGTATCACGAATTGAAGTTGTTCAAATACATTAAACTGGATCACTTAACTTTCATTTGACAAGCCTCAAAATACAAACAAAATGTTTCCATTTTCAAAAGCAAGAAAATCTTTAAGATTTTTTATGGAGAAAAAAATAATATTTAAAAAGAAATGAAAATGTTATAAACTAATGGTGGCAAAGATAAGAGACAATTATGTTGATAGCTTTTGCTCAACAAAACTGTTATAGTTTGTGTCTGGAAGTCCTCCAAACCCAAAGCCTCATGAGGTCAAGGGAGCGGGCTTTTCAGAGACAGCTGAGTCTAGAGTTTGTGACTGGTTCATTGTCTGTTGGCTGGATTGGTGGTGTGACTGCTACACCAGCCCGAGAGACCCTCGCCTGAATACAACATAAGGGAGGGAAAGAAGCTGGCTTTCCTTTCATGCTCTTTTTCTGCCTTCTGCCACCGTGAGCTGTTGTCCCTCTGCCATGTTCTACCCTGCCGTGGAGCCAGCTGATTATGGACTAAAACCTCTCCAAACTATGAACTAAGCTAATTCTTTCTTCCTTAATTTTGGGCATCAGGTATATTGTCTTAGCAATGAGAGAAAAGTAACCAAGACAGCACCTTTATGTATGATATTTAAAGGTTTATATTTCAAATGAAGTGAAAACACAAAAAGAATAACAATGTAAAATCCACCCCTGATATTTACAAAGTAAGCCATGGGATCCACCTGAGTCTGCATACTTCAAAATGAATATTTCTAAATCAATGGAGAAACTTGAACATTTTGAGTAATCATTGAAAATAAATTTTCCAGAAAGAACATTGCTCATTGCAGTTGAATTAGCTTTATGTAAACTTTCCCTAAGCAGTTTGTGATGGTTGGCCAGGCTCAGCTTGCAGTGACCATAATCAGACTGCACGCTGGTTAAAGCTGACAGAAGCCCTCAGCAGCAGGGCTGGGTTTCTATGTCCCTGCACTTCCTTAAGCTCCAGTTTTCATTGGCCTTCTCTTTGCATCCCTCTTCACACTGCTCCCCATAGAATTACATCCTCCCTGTGAAAAAATGTTGACTTTGTCTTGTCTTGCCTCTACAACTGCTAAAAATTTATTGTGAGCGCTAATAAGGAATTTTCCTATATTCTAGCACAGCAGGCACATGTCTTGGTTAATTCAGTCAAGCATCAGATGAAGTAGTTTATTATTGGGTCCATGTCATACCAATTAGTTATCTTTCCACATTAAAATCTCTGTGTTGGGAAGTTTTACTCCTGAGACAGAAATTCTATCTTCCTCTGTGTGTGGGAGCCTGGTGGAATCACCTGAATGGTTCAAGGTCTCTTTCAGGCCTGATGCAGAAAATCTGTCTCAGACATCAAGGCACAGATCTTCACAGGGTCGCACTAGCTCAGAGCAGCAGTGCTTGGTGCACTGCCCCTCCATCAGTCTCTGTGCTCCTCAGTAAGAACTAGAAGGGCAGCAGAGGAGGGAATCTTTACCATCATCTCATAGACGATGGGTCTGATGCTCACAGATGTTTCTGGTCTGCTCCAGATCACAGTTGGAAGTAGTTGAGTAGACACTGTGATAGGCATTTTGGCTCTAAATCTACCTTTCCTTAATGATGAACACTTTAAGTATTTTTCTTAAAAAGCCAGTGTGATATGAACAATAGCTTTTAGGAAGACACAGTGCTTAAAAGCATAAATAAGAGCCAAAAACTCACATAAGTAAAACATTAAGAAGGCATCCTTCAGAGATCACATTTCATAGCTCTATTGCCTTCTTCAGGATGGGTGAATCCTTTCATAATTTTAATGGCCTATATAATAAGTGGAAACAGGATTGACCTGTGTTATCATTGTTCTTTTCAGTTTCATGGTCAGCAGTTAATTCTTGCATACAACCTCTTACTCAATCTCACATCAGCCACATTTGAGAGGCACCCAAGCGAGCAGCTCACTGAGGCAGAGGTTGTTGCTATACAGTTCCTCCTCCAGAACACACACAGTCCCCATCTTTCTCCCAGTGATGTGGAAAGGGCCAGTTCTGGAAAAGAAGGTTACATTTCAGGTCTGTGGTGTGCCCTTTGCACACTTTCTTAGTCTTTTTGTAATGCATGTGACCATGAGGTCCTCTTTAGGTGGGGAAACTGAGAGGCAAAGAAAAGTCAGATGGTGATTTTAGCAGAATCATGAGGGAAAAGGAAGTATGAGCTGAGTCATATACAAGATGAGACATGGAGAGGACCTGGCAGTGTTCAATTTGTGGGTCTACATGGTGCTTTTAATATGGCCATTTAAAAATAAACAGAGGTCTGTGGAATTTACACAGCTTTATATTTGTATTTATGGTACATGGCAAAATAAGGTTTCAAATCTTTGATTAGATCTTGACATTAAGTAAGCAATATGCTAACCCATAAACAGAGAATGAAAATAAAGCCCTACATACAGGAATGATTCCCTGGTGTTAACTCTGTCACCTAGGAGAAGGTCAGCAGATGAAACATGCAGATAATCCTCCCAGGTTAGAGCATAGAAGAGCCCCTTCCCACCCCATATGTAGAATTTCCCCAGACTTCTGCAGGAGAATGAAAGTTAATGCATCATCCATGTGTGGATTTGTGTTTTGCTCAAGCCCTTATTCTTAGATTAGTGGGATCATAAAAAGTGTACTATCCAATTTTATTTTCTTCACTCTTAAAAGTCTTGATCTGTCTTTCCATAAGTAACTTCTTCATACAGTACTTATAATTGCTCTTTCTTCATTTTTC